AAACTTAGCTGTTAAATGAACAATATTTAAAAGAGCTATTGAAATAAGTAATTTTGAAGCAGTTTAATTTTAAAACTTTTCTACAGTGCATTTAAATGTCAAAAAGATTTTGCTTGTCAGTTCTAATCTCAAAAAGTCTTGCACTACTTTTAATATTACGATTTCTTTTGTTCAATTATGCACAAATGTGTTCAAATTGACTAAGCTAATCAGTTATTTCATATTTTAGCTAGATAAAAAATTTTGTTTACCAACGTAATCGTTCTCGTATCTGCGACCACAATGACCTGTATTATAACGACCTCTACAGCAATAATAGTAATAAGCATTCTTAAAAAGTTTTATACCTGCAAACTGTTTTTTGTAGAAATTAGAAATAAAAAATGTAATTTTTAATTAAACAAAATCTATTCAAATTTGCTTTTCAGGTTTCTTCAATATTTCTTTTACCATTTTCTTAGGGCTGGGTAAACTGTATTACAGAAAAGCAAAACAATTTCTTTACAATAAAAATTTATTGCTAATTAATGCAGCTCAACACTACTGTATGAACTCACATGAATTGTGACGTATACTTAACACAGCAAGAAACTTCACTTTTTTCGAGCCACGTAAGAGCACAATACACCAAAGACGTCAAATGGTATCAAAAATTAAAATACTATGTAGACAAAGTTTCTCATGCAACCAGCGAACAACACTGCACACAGTAAGTGGCAGTGGTCTCGTAGTGAATGTTTAAAGCCCTGTAGATTACCACTGATTTGTATAAAGTAGTCAAAATAAAACTTCGAAGAATGAAAAGAAAATGACGACAGTCTTATAACATCTAATAAACATGAAATTAAAAAATTTTACCAAATAAAAGCATCAAAAATAATTTGAGTATCGAAATCTGCAAAAATAAAGTTAGCGTTAGCCAGAAGATGAAAAAAATTTTGCAGGGAATAAAAAAAGCAAACAAGTTCTATTAAACTTAAAAAGCAGGATGTTTCAGTTGCCTAAACCTAAAATATAAAAGTAGCAACAGCCACGAACCGAGTAGAAATATAGCTGACGCTACCGTAATACACCTTATTATATTGATATAACATCTCATAAGACTAGCCAAAATTAATTTGCTCAGTGAACAATAATTTTTTGTTATTGTGCAATATTTATATTTATATTTATATTTATATTTATATTTAT